ATATTTTAAACGGTTTTACCTTTTCATCTACCAGGAGAAATTAATGCATGTGGTAATACAAAGGAAAATACTATTTAAATGACATTGCCTCTTCATATACCAAGCGAAATTAATTAGCATGCTACAAAAAAAAAAAAAAATGATTACATGAACCAATCAAACCACCATGAAATGAGAAAATGATAAAATTAATTAGCATGAAATGATTATACTATTTTTACATGATTGCCTTCTCTCATTTCCAATTTCTTGTCATTTTTTTCTGTTCAAGTTTTATTCTTTAACTTATATTACAAACTATTTTGATACATTAATATAAATATTCAAATCAAAGTTATAAAAAGAAAGCGATTTAAATGAAATTTTGGTGCAATTGAACATATATTTTCAAATATAAATAATAGTAATATTAGACATATGTACAATTTAGAAGAAATATGAAGTAAAATTTATATTTAAAAAGACTAAAAAGTTGATAATAGAACAATATGAATAAAATCTTCTTGAGAAAAAATAATATCTTCATATGACTTGATCTTTATCAAATTCATACTTTTCTTATTCAATTCAACATATAAATCAACACTTGTATTGCTTCAATTAATCTCAATTCCATGAGTAAAGTTCTATCCTTAACATACAAACAAAAAAAACAAAGAAAAAGAAAATCAGATAAAGTTATAAATTTTTTTTAAAAGAATAACCATCATATATTTTATAAAAAATTCATAAAAAAAGAATATGAAGACTAATAAAAAAATAATTCATACAATAATATATATATTTTAGATAAAGAGGTAAAAAGACAAATAAAAACATAATATTATATTTAGTTATAATATAAAAATCGGAAACAAAAAGGTAAATAATATTTAGAACTCACCATGTTAACAAAAAGAAATTAAGAGATGAAGAGGAGAATATGATATATTGGTATAGAGAAAAGTGAAAGTTTATATATAGGTGGGTAGGAAAATGGAAGTGCATAGAGAAAGATTATTTAATATTTAATTAATGCAATCTTTTATTTTTATAATAAAATGTACATTTGTCTTTTAAATTTTAAAAACTGATAATATTTAATGTCTAATCCATGTATTATAAGATAAAATGGAACTCTTCCAATTATTTATTAATGTAAATTTCATCCTATATTTTTTTTTTTCAAGAAATTTATTATGCAATTTTTAAATATTTAAATGCATACCATATTTAATGCATAGGATAGCATTTTATATATATAGATAGATATAGATATTGATAGATTTAGACCTTTAGTCTTTCATGGTAAGCTAACTTTGCCTCTTTATCTACTATATTCATTCATCAATTATTTTTATCATTTACAATTTTCACTCTTTTTCCTCTTCATCTACCACTTTGATTATCATTTACAATTTTCCTTTTTTAAATTTCATGCACTTTTTTTTTTTTTTGAGTTAGTTAATTGCATAGCCTATTACATGCATAGGGTAGCTTTTTATATAATATATAGATAGATGTGGATAGATTTAGACCTTTAGTCTTTCCTATTAAACTAACTTTGCCTCTTCATCTACCAAAATCAATCATCAATTATTTTTATCATTTACAATTTTTATTCATTTGTCTCTTCATCTATCACTTTCTTTTTTTAAATTAGTCAAATGCATACCTTATTAAATGCATGGTGTACCATTTTATATAATATATAGATAGATGTGGATAGATTTAGACCTTTAGTCTTTCCTATTAAACTAATTTTGCCTCTTCATCTACCAAAATCAATCATCAATTATTTTTATCATTTACAATTTTTATTCATTTGTCTCTTCATCTATCACTTTCTTTTTTTAAATTAGTCAAATGCATACCTTATTAAATGCATGGTGTACCATTTTATATGATATATAGATATAGATAGATTTGGACCTTTAGGCTTTCATGTGAAGCTAACTTTGCCTCTTCATCTACCGCATTCATTCATCAATTATTTTTATCATTTACAGTTTTTGTTCATTTGCCTTTTCATCTACCACTATAATTTGCAATTTACTTTTTGTTTTTAATTAGTTAAATTCATATGCTATTAAATGCATATGGTAGCATTTTATATAATAGATAGATAGATATAGATAAATTTAGACCTTTAGTCTTTCATGTTAAACTAATTTTGCCTCTTCATCTACTACTTTCATTGTCATTTATAATATTCTTTTTTGAAATTTCATGCCTTTTTTTTTTTGAATTAGTTAAATGCGTACCCTATTAAATGCATAGGGCAGCATTTTGTATTTTTTTAAGATTTAGATTAGATAGATGTAGATAGATTTAGATAGATTTAGACTTTTAATCTTTCCTATTAAACTAACTTTGGTTCTTCATCTACCACATTCATTCATCAATTATTTTTATCTTTTACAATTTTGTTTTATTTGCCTCTTCATCTACTACTTTCATTATCATTTACAATTATCATTTATTAAATTTCACCCACTTTCTTTCTTTTTCTTTTGAATTAGTTAAATGCATACCCTATTAAATGAATAAGGTAATAAATTATATAATATATAGATATAGATAGATTTAGATCTTTAGTCTTTCATGTGAAGCTAACTTTGCCATTTCATCTACCACATTCATTCATCAATTATTTTTATCATTTACAATTTTCATTTATTTGCCTTTTCATCTACCACTTTCATTATCATTTTCAATTTACTTTTTTTTTTGAATTAATTTAATTCATATGCTATTAAATGCATAGGGTAGCATTTGATATAATATATAGATTTAGAATTTATTATTTATATTTATTATTATTATATATATGATATGTTTAATTTACATATCTTACTTAACTTTAATAAGTTTTTAAAATTAGGTATGCTTAATACATAAATTCAACATATAATTAATATATATTTTTTATAATTAATTTTTATTAAAAATGTAAATATTGATTTTGATTTATTTAATTAACCAACTCTAATTATTTATATGTCGATAGTATTAAATAAAAATAAATTTTTATATATTTTTATGTGAATTAATTATAAAAAATTATATTTATTATATTTTTAACTTGTGTTTTTAAAATATAAGTTAGACAAACTCAACTTTTATTTTTATTTTTAAAAATTATTGTTATTATATAAATATTAAATATGACATGTAAATGTAAAATTTTAATTATATAAGTATAGATAACATATTAGTTAAATAGTTAGTTAAATAAATCAGATAAATAATTATAAGTTCTTATATTTGAATTATTTTTTATATTTATTATTTAATTTGATACTTATAAATATACTAATTTCATAACTATTGTTTTTTTTTTTATAGTGTAAATATAATACTTATCTAAATAAATAAAATATTTGTAAACTAGAATTTTTTAACCCGTGCATTGCACGGGATTATTTTTATTCTTTTATATTAATTCATAAAAAATTATGTAATATTATGTTTTTATGTTTTATAATGATATTTTAATTAAACATTTTTAAATTGATTTAAGTATTAAAAATTATTAATAGAAATAAATTTTTTTTAAAATTTATCTTAAATTAATTATCCTTTTTTTATTTTTTAAGGACAAATAAATATTTTTTGCAATGCCATCAATATTATCCATTCATTTTAATTAATTATCCAATCACAAAAACTCTTTCTTTATCTTTTATTTTTTTTTAGGGTATTGTAGAAAAACATAAAAATTGTTCTTAAATACTTAATTTAGAAAAAAAGCTAAAAAACGATAGTTATTTTGGTATATAAAGGATATATAACAAATTCATTAATAAGTACATTTAATTTTTTTTAATAAATCAATTATCTCTTACACATCTTATTTTTATTAACCAAATGTTTTTTTTATTTGTAAGACTAATAATTTTAATTAATCTTTTATATGTTGTTTTATCTTCATTATTTTTATAACATGTATAATATTACTCATATTAAGAATGTCTTTGTCTCTTTGCATTAGTTTTAGACTTTTAGTTTTAAGTGTTTTTAATTATTATTTATAATACATTAATACATTTTAAAATATAAAATTACCATATCATTAAAATTGTATAATAAAAAATTATTAATTGTAAGTTAATGTAGAAGATAAAATTTTAACTCTGTATAAATATATTTAGCTTTTAGCATACGTTTAATAATTAATATGTATTGCAATCCCTTAGTTTTTACCCTATATAAAATTTAGGGTTTATTCATCATAATAATGATAAAATAATTGAGAAGAGAAAGATAAGTTGGGAAGAGAAGGAAAATAAAAAGTTTAAATAATTGTAATTTTGGTTATATTTTTCATTAATTTTTTAATAAATCTTAATTAAGGTTTTTTAAACACTCTATATCTTTTATATTTTTACAATAATGATTAAATTCTCACGTGCTCTTTCTTTAATTATTTATTTAATAATAACACATGTAATATTAATAATGCTCTATATGTTTTTGTAAACTTATCTCTTATTTTTTGTTTAATAAACACGCAACAGAAAATAATAATAAAGAATATATTAATTAGTTTATTATACAACAAATAATTACATAAACATGCATGTTACTCTCATTTAATTATTGTTGTCATTATTATTAGTATTATTATTTTTTATTATTACTATATATTAATATTAATTTCAAAATAT